CAAACAACATATAAAGTAAAAACACAGTTACCTATACAATCCTTTCCATGATTCCAAAATGCATGGACTACTACAACATATATATAAATAAAAAAAGACGTGTTTAATGGCGAAATTTTTTTAGACTTTTTCATGCAATTTTTGTTAATAATTTTTTTTTTTTGTTACTCCTTACTAAATTAAAATTAAATGAGGTTATTTTTGTCCAAATTTTTTTTTCTTTTGTTGTTTACCTAAATTCTCCTAATTAAATAGACCAAGAGTGATATTAAGCTTTTGAACCAATAATAATTTTGGTTTTGAACCAATAACCCTACTAGCGGAACGGCGTCGTTTTGTATGCATTTTAGATTTATTTTTTGTTCAAAAATAAAACGCCGCCTCATTTTGGCTCCTAAATCCTTATTAAAACCTTTCTAGGTCAAATCTTTTTCGTGTTATTTCCCTCTTTTCTTTTTTCCCCCTTTTCTCGGAGGCGATCTGCGATCTCGGAGGCGATCGACGATGTCGGAGGCGATGGATGACGATATTCCTTCTAGTGATTCGAGCGAGTACTCTATTACTATAACGAGTGAAGATGGTAGTGGTTACATCGCTGATGGTTCGGAAGGGGCTAATTCTGCTGATTCCGGTGATATCTCTATGACCAATGGAGAGGGCGAGGAAGGCGACGCTGGTGATGATTCTGAGCAAGACTACAGTCCTACACCCTATATTGTATATAATCTTCAAACAGAGTCACAGAACTTGCCAGGTCAGTTTAGCTCTTGTTTGTTTCATATAGAAATTTGGATATAGAATTAGCTCTTGTTTGTTTCATATAGAAATTTAGATGAAGTTCTGAACCGAAACATTGGCTTTAGAGGAAGTTCTGAGTTAGCTCAAGATGTAGATAAATAGAATTATTACATTGGTTTTAGAGGAAGTTCTGGGCAGAAACATTGGCTTAATTCTGAACAGAAACATTGTCTTTAGAGGAAGTTCTGAGCAGAAACATTGGTTCTGAACATAAACATTGCCTTTATTCCCTTTGTGTTCAACAGCTTTAGAAGAAGTGCTGAACCAATCAAAGCACAAATGGCTCTATTCTCAAGATGTTGCTCATATTTGCAATTTCCCATCTGATCTTACTCTCACCAAGCAAACAATCAAATTCTACAATCAAGGCTTGTATCTGTTCCACAAGTGGACGCCTCCGGACGAGTACAATTGGGAAGCTATCTCTGAAATTCGTTCTACTCAGAGAACTTAATCCCTTGTATTATACAGTTGCCAAGAAGACTATTGGTCCGTTTGCCACGGGTGTGCGAACGACATTGTATAGAAGAGTCTATCAGCTCAGCGGTTCTTTGTAAGTAAATGTTTTCTCTTGTTTCAGTCTCAATGAATAGTCTTAGAAATGCTAACCAAGTTGTTGTTGTTTCTCTTTTTTTATAGGCAATCAGAATATGTCCTTGTACATTACAGAGTTTCGTACTTGGACGACAGTATTACATCTTGTGATGATTCGGGCATAAGTGTGATAGTTTTAGATTCTGACAACTCAAATGGAGACCATACAAGTGATGAAGATTTCATTGGTGAGGGTAACGAAGATTCTACCAATGAGCAAGATAATCTTGAGGTAACTGCAATAGTTTAAAAAGCTGCTTCTTAGTGTAATTTTTTGCTAATCTGGTTGTGATTCATTCCTTCCATATTTTTTCAGGATTGCAAGAATCACAGCACTAAATTTCTCCAGACTCTATCTCTTGATGACGCTCTCCCAGGTGATTGATTCGTCTCCACTCCACTATAAATAAACTGTTTGACACATACATGATCTCATGTTGTGTCTGGTTTTTCCGCAGGGACAATCAGCAACAACTTCTGTCACCCAAAGAACGATGACTTCTCTCTCTATGCGCATGCTGGGAATGTTGTAAGTATAACCTCAGTCTTAAAAGCTACATGGGTTGATTGCTGGTAGTTTATATTTGGACATTCTAATTTGGGGAACCACTCGCTACACAGATCCTGATTGGTTTTTCACCCGATGAAATGGAGGAACTTGCGCACGAGTATGAAGCCAGTACAAACTCTGATGGTAATTGCCATAACTTTTGTCTCTACTCCATTGATTTCGTAGAGTTTCCATTTCGTTCTTCTCATAACTGACAATTGATTCTGTTGTGTATATGCTCACTTGGCAGCTGCTCAGCTGGGGACATTCATGAAATATGAGGATCAGTCTGAGACATCATCCAGCCACGGTGGTGTCACAGCTCCAGGACCAGTCTCTGTTGCGCAGCTCCCAGAACTCGAAGACAACGTTTCCAACTCCTTGTTCTTCTGTTAGATGAAGAAGGCGTGACAAGTTTCTGAATTTGCAGTTTGTCTTTCCGAACTTGTTTTCAAACATTTACCTCATGATCTCTCGGCTTTTCAAGCGGTAAGGCATCAAACACTAAGGCGTAGTGTGTTTTTTTTTTTGTGTGGATATTTTCTCCAGCGCCTTGTTTTGTCTTGTGGGGTTTGAAGATATTTTGCCCCCTTTTGCTATCCGGTGCTTCTTTGAAAATGACTTGATGTAGTGAATATTTCTAAGCCCAGGAAGCGGCTCTTTTGCTTGAATATTTCGTTGCTTTAAAACAAAAACCCAAACCTAGTCAAGGTCTAAATAAGAGAGGTAGTCCTTTTGTTTCAATATTTCATGTCGTTTACATGAAAAGACATACACCCAGTCAAAAATCTAACTTAGGTAAGTGACCTTTTCGTTCCATTACATG